CACCATTCACCCTGGTAAATGGTAGATTCACCGTGGTAGATCCACCATCTACCACGGTGAATTGCCGATTTTGTGTTAAGTCAAGATACGCTGGCCGGCGGAAACTGGAAGAAGAACTCAATTATGATGAAAGACCCGGCTTCCTTGAGAGTACTGCGTAGTCAATTTTTGGGTCAAATCCCATAGAACGGCTGAGAATAAGACTAACTTGCCCACAGCCTTCTTCAGAAAGTTGGGATCCAGAACGCATTTGAATCGGAGACACACAGACGGTATTGTGTGCAGGAACAGCTGGCAGACCCAATCAGGGTAGAGATTGGGGCACAAGACTACTACCTTGAATGATGGAAACTGCTATCAAAGCTCTCACGAATACCATCAACTGCTTTGAACGACATAATGTAAAACAAGCGATTTTATTTAAAAATATATGTTTGTCTACCACCATCTCAACAGCACAATCATTCCCGCCTATCATTTACAATCATAAATACCGTTATCTGGAGCTTGGATTCGAGATTACCGGGGACCTCTCCAAGATAATGATCTCACAAAGTTAACCATCAGAAAGCTTACGCCCATTAGCAGGGGTTGCTAGGAAAAAGGATCAGACTCCAGCTGTTCGAAGGTTGGGTAACGCTACTTCCTCGATAAATCTCTATCCGATGGATATCGCCACGAATTTTCTTACTACTTATCCACTGGATAGTGATTTATCCGTTGGATAGCGTTATCTGCCCTTGGAACGACTGGGCCTAGAGGTTCTAGGTAACGATGCTTGATTGAATTCCACAACAAATTTATTAATTATATTATGTCTATGACTTATGTGAGCCCCTACTTGCTTCTTATCAATCATTGCATCGACTTGTTCCGCAATCGGGAATGAAGTTCACTAATTAAGACACTTCTGATTAACTTCAGCCACAAAAACGTGACTCCTCTAAACAAATGATTATAATAACGTACCCTGTTAAATACAAATATTGCAAAGCATCGCGATCCTTCCATAGTTTGAATCAGAGGAGAAACACCTTTCAAGGCAGTATAGTCGTCTCACTTTTACAGACTTTTAAAGTTTGGCTCTCTTCGGACTTCGAGCTTCCATTTCTTCTTCAAAGATATTTCTCTCAGCTCCCTTCGTGCATTCATTTCCACAAAACTGCACGATCAATCAACCGCTGAGAAAATATTTTCACATAGACACTAGTCATGGAGTTGAAATTTTCATAGGTCTAAATCAAGCTTTTTTTTTTCTTATTTCATTTTCTAGTTTGAATTATCCTCAATGGTTGGATCGCGATACAAAACTCATTCGATTTTGTTATCACAGTAATACTGTATTTGCATTGGTACTGCGCTGTAAAGATTAAACAAAACTAAATGTGGATTTTCATTCCAAAAGCAACATTTCAAATTCCAATTCGATCTGGAAACAGTGGACAAGAAGAGCCACCCAGAGGAATGTGGTGTGTTTTTAACATGAACCATCAGCTCAGAAGATTGGGCTACCACTTCCTACATTACCGACTTAAAATAAAATATTTTACTTATCCAGTTTTTCTCACCCGCAATTCAACTTTTCTCGCAGCAAAACTACAGAGTGTATGGTCTTCGTGTTTATAACATTTCACAAATTGAGCGGTGGAAATAATTTTTTAGGTATGCTTAATCGGCCCACACGAACGAATTCCGCTCAGAACCAATATTGGTCCATGCGAAATCAGTGGAAAGCGTTGAAGGCGCGCTCTGATTGGCAACTCAAACTCTGAAAATCTTTTCCAATTCACCGCCGAGTAACTCGCGCGGGATTTGCGCCCGAATATATTGTAATCTTTGCAGCAAAAAGCTAGTTAAAATCATCTGTATGTGCTATATTATCTCACAGTTTCAGTATACACTAAACCAGCCAATGTATACACTAAAATATCAAAGCTAGTATACATTAAACCATACTCAATGTAGGTGGCTAGTGGTGGATATTTACCTCGACTCTACGCCGCTCGGTATATATTCACCACTTGTCACTTCCACTTCGGTGAATAGTGACATGTTCACAATCGCCCTTCCTACTGAAATTCGGAAACATTTTTCTCTAAGCTTTTATCGTTTCCTTTGACAGCTCGAGTTAGTGGGTTTGTAAAATGGCTTAACCAAAACTTTCGTGTTTGAGTCGAGTTATTTTGATTTTTCATGGTAACATTTACTCTTTTTGCTTGAATAAAAGAAAACCACCGCCAATTCTTATGCTTAATAACTGAAATAAATGAAAAATTTTCTTCTTTCTGATTGGCTGGAAGATATGCAGTTCAGTTCAAAGTAACACAATGCAGAAGGGAGATACTTCAGTGTAGAAAAATGATAATACGGTGCAAAAAAGGGCTGCAAACTTTTGGCCCTACGTTGAACTCATTCGCAGCTCAAGAACCTGATTTTACTGTAAGAAACATAAGCTAATCAGCTTACTATTTGATCTGTTATTCTGCTAGCTCTCCTACCTTCATATCTCCACAAAACGGTTTTTTGATTGAGTTAATTTGTCTTTTTGCATAGCCGACAAAAAAGATACTAAAATAAATCTACTTGCCACGTCCACTCTAATAATAAAGAGAAGTGTTCCGTTTCATCTAGAAAGTATTTCTCTTTCATCTACATTTACAAAAATTAAATCATATCACGGTGAAGCTGATTATCTATCTCTATTTCATCTTATGCATATCGTCTCTTTGCTCAAAACGGCCAATGTGACATCCCTCTATATAACGCATTCTGCGCAACGTGCTAAGACCAATTAATCTGTGTGCTCTGGTCACCGCATTAATACGCACGGGCACATTCAAATGAACTATTTTCATAATATCAATGGACGAAGTCAAGGCTATAATAAAGCACATCGTGATGAAATTCGAACTAAAAGTGCTTCTTTCTAAATGTCTAACGATTTGAACTTTAGCTATCTTTACTTACATTTGACTGATGAAGAACCATATTGTTCCTAAAATCTATCTCATCTATTAACTGCATTTTATACCAAACGATTCCTCTAAAACAATATGATAAAATAACACTAACTGTGTCTTAGGACTTACCAGCTACCTTACCGAAAAAGATTACCTTACGCTTTATATTTACATGTTCACAACCAACAGTACCAAAAGTTGTCTCACGCTAGGTGTTCAAGATCATCGATTATTTCTACCATACTAGGTCTCGCCCCAGGCTGTATTTGCAGGCATCTCCGGACGAGAGCTCGAATCACGCGATTTGATACAAGTGCAACTTGCTGTTCACGCTTTTCAGGGTCTGGCATTTCCTGGATCGACATCTCACAAAGAAGAACGCCAAAACTGTAGGCATCAACCTTGATGTTGAAAACAACTTACAATGAACTCAATGATATTAATCACGATAGCGGAAATTATGCAATATCGATGACGATGATACTGATGATAACTCAGCTCGAATAGATTATAAAGAGTGACAGATGAAGGATATAAAGCAAGTGAGGTCTCAAACCGTAAAGCAGAAAAATAAATTGCAACGTTCTAAGAGATGGGAACCTTTCGAACCAAGTGCCCGTCGCTTTCAGAGAGGCCACATAATGTACTACAAGACTGTTATCTGGCGTTCAGTGATTAAAATTTTTGGATACACACCATTGACAACGGGTCGTTCTAGAAAAAAACAAACATGAAATGAAAAATACCTTAACGGTTTGGTTTTTAGTGACTGCTTCAGGAGCACTGTAAATTGGCGCTCCAGGTGCAATTGTCATGGTATGTTGAATGAAATTGGCTGTGCCATAATCTGAAACCTTGGCTCGCCACTGGTCACCCTGCCGCCACAGCAACACATTTGCACTACTGATGTCTCGGTGAATGATGGGAAATGGTTGCTTCTGGTGAAGGTAGTTTAGTGCTCGAGCCACATCCAGGGAAATAACGCACACCTCAGTAACGGAAAGTGGTCGCTTTAACAGTGCTCGTAAACTTGTTTCCATGAGCTCCGTAACAAATAATGGACTTCCTTCGTCGTTTGTTGCCCCAATAAACTGCAACAAACATGGGTGTCGGCATCTTGAAGCAATGTTCATTTCTCGTTCAAACAAACTGCGGTTGTCATTAGAAAGAATTAACTCATGGATTTGTTTCACAGCTACGATGCAGCTACAATACTTTCCTTCCACAACATTTCCCCAGCCTCCCCTTCCAAGGCATTTGTCTGTTACCTCAATTCGATCGCGTGAAATGACCCAGTCCGGTGACTCTTTTCGTTGACGTTCACTTTACGCTAATTGTTGAGCTGTTGAGAGACTCATTTCGAGTTCAAGCACTTGATTTTGTAAACCAGAAATTTTCTCTATTTTTTTCTTGTAGTTGCCTCTGGATATTGGTCTGTTGCTGAGTCACCTCTCTTTGTAAGTTTGTCAGTTGTTGCCCCATCCTCCTCACTTGTGCTTCTGAGTTCACTAACTGATCATGCTTCTCCTGAAACTGTCCTTGTGTGTTTGTCAGTTGTTCCTCCATCCTCTTCACTTGTGCTTCGGAGTTCACTAACTGATCATGCTTTTCTTTTAATTGTTCGTGTTCGTTTGCCAACTGTTGCTGCATCTCCCCTGTCTTTGTAATCTGTCATGTTGTTCTTGCTTTTGCCTCTGCAGGCTGGCTATTTCCGACTCTTTCTCTTTCAGTTGTGTTTGGAATTGAGTCACTAGCTGTTCCATTCCTCCCAATCGTTCGAGTAAACTCTTTTCTTGTTCGTTATTTTCTCTCGACTTCTCTTGCAAGCTAGGCGGCTCACAGGCAGCCCAAGCTCACTACTAGAAAAGCGGACGTGACTCTTAACGTGTTGCGCGACGTTTTATATTTATAAAGGTTTGTAAGGGATCTTATCGGTTTGCCTTAAAAGAGAGAATCAACATCGAATGGAAATGTGTGATCAAAACAATGCGGTCTTGACAAAACCTCTCGAGGGGACCAGTATAAATATAAAACGTTGCGCAACACGTTAAGAGTCACGTCCGCTTTCCTGGTATTGAGCTTGGGCTGCCTGTGGGCGGCTGACTTCCCCTTTCCCAACCTGCTGGTTTTCTCAACTTTCCTATCAGAGGAATGAAAAATAAAAATGACGGACACATTAGTGTACAGTCTTTGCAAGATTCATCGTATAAATTGGATACAGTTAAATTTCATCGTGCCCTAGCCAAAATTCTCCTGCCGGTCCCTTGGTTCACTTTTGTTCGCAAGAATCGTAATTGTTATAGTAAGGAAAAAAGTTCATCATTAGAAAGATTACAACGCTCTTACGACTACGAGCACGATAGCAAGTACGATTACGTTGCGACGATAGTATAAACTGGCCTTGAATGCTTAACCTAAACACAACATATCGGTTCGAAGAGTTTCTCAAGTTTCTTAATCTCTAATATATTGCCCTTACGAGATCAAATGGAGATTAAGAGACAGAGGCGGTGATTCATTAATCAAATGTGTTCGCCAATTAATGAGTCTAACAATAATGGAGAAGAAAAAAATAGAGGAAACGAAACCCGTTCCTACATTTATCATCTATAAACTGTACCTTCTACTTTCGGCTTTCCTTGAGCTCCTGTTAATATAGGACAGTTCAAGACAGGCCCCACTAACCTTTCAGTCTAGAAAAAATGTGACAGACAGACACATTTACATTTAAAGACTGGGTAATCTCTTGCAAAATTAGCTTTAAAGAATACCTATGGCCAACCTGTATGTAAAGAAGTCGAGAAATGAAACATATTTGTCAAGTTGTTAATTAGTATTTTCGTACCAAAACTTCACATGTGAAGATTACAGTGACGGAAAGAACAAAAACAGGTGTCTCCCTTCTTTTTTTTTTTTGTCACTTCGCGACTTTGCTCGTAAGCTTCGAGAAAGTCACGAAGAAATCCAGAATGATGGTAACCATACAACTCCGCAAGATAATAAAAGTACTCCTCAAGCAAACAGAAATAGTAAAAGATAATATCCTGTATTCATCAAGCTGATTTCCGTTTGCAAACTTCATCAAATCTAGACGCTGCGATCCAAATCTTTCTTCGCATTATTTTCCATTCGATTTATTATGACGTCATAATAAGTCGAATTCACTTCATTCTGTATGAATTACTGTGCGTATAAGATCTCTTCGGGTGCAAGAAACACAATACGCAAGTAAGGAGACCTACGTGGGGCACCGAGTGCGTTATGTGGACCATCTTCACATTCAGAGAAAATAAGTATTGCATGCAAACAAAGCCCTTCGTTAAAATGGTTGTATGCGTCAAGTTGAAGCATGGTGACTTACGTTGTGCAGCAATACTACTGTAAAGCATTAAGAAGCCAATTTAAAGGGTATCTTTCACCAAAGGTTAAGTTTGTTTGTTTACTTGCGAAATAAAGAAAATGTCTCCCCTCTCATTAGCGTACGTTTACAAATCATGCGTTGTTTTAAAGGTGAGAAAAATATCAATCTTTGCGCGCGGGTTTTGAAGGGTTGGATTACAAAGGAAAGAAAAAACTGTCGGCGGAGGTTTAGAGTTTAATGCATTAAGGATAGATTTTTTTAAGTAATGATAAAAGTGAAGTTTTTAAGTTGGAAACGTCAACTCTACGGTGTACTCGGTGATCGCATGATAGGAAATTGGGGCGAGTGCACCACAAGACGAGGTGTATTTGCCGTTAAGTTCTAGCTACTTTGGCCTTCTCAGACTTCTGTAATTTCCAACGATTTGCTTGTAGAACGATGGGACTTTCGTGGAGTGGACTGACTATTTTATGGAACGAAGTCACCGTAAGATGGAACGAAGTGACTTGGAGCGAAGTAACTTGGAACGAAGTGACTTAAACGAAGTGACTGGATAGTGTCCTTTTTTCAACCAACTAGAAATGCATTTATCACTTTCACGGGTATATTACGAATCAACTTAACGGCCTCCTCCCAGTTGGCTTGTTAGCTCAATTGGTAGAGCGCTGCACTAGTATCGCAGAGGTCAGTGGTTCGAGTCCCCTACAGGCCTGATTTTTTTCAGGTCTGATTTTCACTATTGCTTAAATAGCGCTATCTACTGCGAGGATCATGCATCATATGTAGAAATGCATATAAGCTAATTCTCAAATGTCCATTTAATAAAAAGGTTTTATATTTGCATGTTATATGGGTGAATATTATCCTATACGTACCTCAAATCTTAAATTGGTTCCATGTTGTGCCCCTTGATCTCTTTGTGTTTCTGCAAATCGGTCTCTCCAAACTTCGAATTCTGAGTACCATCTGTCTCCCATGTCATGTCTTAAATTGGTTCCAGGTTCTGTCGCTTGATCTCTTGACTTTTCTTCACTTTGGTCTCTCAAAACTATAAATCTTGAGTACCATTAGTCTTCCATGTCAGCCTATGTATCTTCAAGTTGTGCGTGGGTTTCTACAATTGTTAATCTGTTATATCTTCTAATGGAGATGACTGATCAAGCCCAGTAAAACACAAGATGGTGCACAAAATACTTATCACTTGAGTTTACTTGTCCCAATAGATGATAACTTTCTATCTTGGAGTGACCTAAAGAAATGGTATGGTCAACATTATTATCCTGCTACAATGTCTAAAGCATATGCAAAAAAAAATTTGGGTGGTGTGAGTATTTATAAATACATGATTGCACAATTATGAAAAAAAATATTGGTTTAAATTTTTTTCTGCCACCAGTGTGTAGCAAAGGAGGATCCTGATCCCCTTTCACACAATGATATTAGAAAAAATTCCTGTGTCGTGTGTTCTGTAAACAGTATTTCACCAGTAACAAATTTAAAAGGGAAAAGTTCAAATCTCACCTTGCCTATCTGTACAATTTATGCATCACATGTTAATTTTGGCCTTCACCTACAGATAGATAGATTACAAGTTAGACAAACTTTATTAACATGTCATACCTTCTACCCTGGAAAATTCCCGTACTAACTTGGGAACACAAAATAAATGGACAATAAAAAAAGGAAAAGATTTAAAACTGAGTGTGTAAAAATGAATAAAGGCTGATAGTTTTGAAAGAAACTGTTTGGGGCTGGGTTGGTGGGAGTAAAGAAATAATTTGGATATATCAACTTTGTTGATATATCCAAATTATATGAGTGTGTAAAATGTCTAGTAATTAAAATAATAATATGAATGATAATATATAATCTAATACTAATTGTGCTAATCTAATAGACTAGTAATAGTTGATCATGACCTGATAATTAAGTAAAATTGCTGAAAAACATTGATGTATACATAAGCCTTTGCCACCCTACTAGAGTACACAGGAGAAGGTCAGTCAAAGATGGTGCAAACTCAGATAAAATTATGAATAAATGAAGGGAATTGAATATACTGTATACACTTCCATTTTCTCATAAACATTTCTGATACCCAAAATCAATTTTATTTACTGGTAGTCATGAATAAAAGGGCCATCACTTTTATTAATATCACAACTTATATAGTCAAATTCATGACCTTAATCAGATACAATGAATATATGAAGTTCATACATTTTGAACTGCGGTTGTAGATACGTATGATGCACGATCCTCGCAGTAGAGAGCGCTATTTATGCAATAGCGAAAATCAGACCTGAAAAAAATCAGGCCTGATTTTCACTATTGCATAAATAGCGCTCTCTGCTGTGAGGATCGTGCATCATACGTATCTACAACCGCAGTTCAATATATGAACTTTATATATTCATTGTATCTGATTTATCATCAGGGGTT